CCACACCCTGGTCTTTCATATCACAGACTGCTCAGTTCATCATGTTTGTTAGTTCTGAAATGATTGTGATTAAAAGTGTCTTCGTCTGTCAACCAGCTGCTCCTCAGAAACCCTATACAGGGTCGCTATGGGTCGGAGTAGACTCAACAGCACTTAACAGTATTCGGTTGATGTAAACAAAACTGTCAAGGTTTGACGAGAATGTACTGGACAATAAGTTCTGGGAATCCAGCATTCTTCATGACACTCTGCAAGTTTTATAGCCTAGCTATGCTTAGATTTGCATTCTGCTTTGAATTGGGTTCCAATTCAGAGACTTCCAATGAACGAATTCTGGTATGGTGCTGTAGGATAAGCACTGGACTGCTAACCACAAGGTCAGCAGTTCACACCCACCAGTCACTCCTTGGAAACTATACCAAGTCACTGTGAGTCACAACGAACTCGATGGCTCTTAACAAGAACAACAATGAACAATTCTATTTGGGAAGAAGTACAGCTGGATTGCTCCTTGGAAGTGACGATTGTGAGACTTTGGACATGTTGCCAGGAAGGACCTATACAGGGTCACCTGTTCAGGGTCAACTCACCGGCACCTACGAACAACAACAAAGATATTGCGGATGTGAGCACAAATACTGAAACAAAGGTGACTCAGGTACAGAGGCCTGAAGTCTTTTTAAATTTACTTTCACATTTAATCCAAATAAATGAGGAAATGTTAATAACAATCCTATTCGTAATAGTCCAAAATTGAAGACAGCCTAGTGTCCTTCAATAAGTGAATGAATGTGGTATATCTGGAATACCTTTGTTGTTGTAGTTAAGGCTATCGAGTCAGATCGACTCAGAGTGAGTGGTTTTCAAGGAGCAGCTGGTGGATTTGAACTTCAGCCTTGTGGTTCACCAGTCCAATACTGATCCTACAGTGCCATCCCAAGAGTCCATCCTAGAAGTTGGTGGTGGTGTGCCATGGAGTCGGTTCCGATTCACAGTGACCCTGCAGTATTTCTGAGGCTGTAAATCTTTATGGGAGCAAAAAACCTCATCTTTCTCCTGCAGAACAGCTGGTAAATTCGAACTGCTGACCTTCAGGTTAACAGCCTGACTCATAACCACTATGCTACCAGAGCTCCTTCCTAGGAATAAGTGAGCTGAAATGAACTACTGTTTTGAATCTGGTAATCATGATTTTATATGCCAGGAATGGCCTAGCATTCATCCTCAAAAGAACCTGAAATAAAACATGCTGTTTTGGCTTTAATATTTTGTATATCAAAATACATAAATATTTCAATTAACAAAATTCTTTAGTTCTCATTATTTAAATTGTTGTTGTTGTTGTGTGTCATCAAATCGATTCTGACTGGACAACCTTTGAATTGCCTGTCCACTGCTTCTTGTTGTTTAGTCGGTTCCGACTCACAGTGACCCTGCGCGGGGTTTCTGAGGCTGTAAATCTTCATGGGAGCAGGACGCCTCACCTTTCTCCCTTGGAGTATTGTTGTTGTTAAGTACCATGGAGTCGGTTCCGACTCACAGTGACCCTGCGCGGGGTTTCTGAGGCTGTAAATCTTCATGGGAGCAGGACGCCTCACCTTTCTCCCGCGGAACCGCTGGTAGTTTCGAACTGCTGACCTCAAGGTTGGCAGCCTGACTCGTAACCATTACGCTACCAGAGCTTAGCTATTATCTATTACTGTTATCGATGAGAGGGAGGACTCCTGGTGTGGTGCTGTAGAATCAGAACTACAAGATAAGCAGTTGAAACCAGTTGCTCCTCAGAAATCCTATACAGGGTCCCTCTGATCTGGAACCAACTTGATAGCACTTAACAACATCAGAGTGAAGCCAAGCTACCTTTATTGTCTGTTTGGAATTTATGAGTGTGAAACCTTGGCTTTTGCTGAGATATTTAGTCTTGAGGGATGATGTTCTAGTTATCTGGTGCTGCTATAACAGAAATACCTCAAGTGCATGCTTTTAACAAACAAATTTATTCTCTCACAATGTGTGAGTTAGAAGTCCAAATTCAGCCTGCTGGCTAGTGGGGAAGGTTTCCTCTTTGTTGGTGCTTAGGAATGGTCCTTGTCTCCTTTCAGTATTTGTAAGCTCAGTATTCCTTGGATATCAATCTTCTCCTGGATCTAGGAGCTTCACCTGCAGGGGCCCCAGGCCCAAAGGCCTCATGACACTCCCAGCTCTTTTAATCTTAGGTGGTAATAGGTCCCTCCTTCTCAGCTGATATCTCTTGTAAGATAAAAGGCGTTGCATGCTACACCATTGGGGATCTCTCTTCAATTAGGGTGGTGATGTGATTAAGGGTGATAATTATATACCACCTTTAATCCACTTACTGGTTTATTAAATCAAATCACATCATGAGGGGGGATAGCTACATGCCAACTACCAAACTACTGAGAATCTTGGCCCAGTCAAGTTGACACACTCTTAACTGTCACAGATGAGAATCTGTCAGAGCCTCTTTATACAAAGAGGTTGCTCAATGGATGATTGAGAAGAACGAGATAGGGGGTAGCAAGAAGCTGGATAAGGTCTATTTGGACTTTGACTCCAAACCCAGATTCCACTACTTAGAATATTAACTAAATCTCCTACATTTTTAACAGTCTCCAATGGACTCCTCAGTACTCAAGAAATCAAACGACGTATTGCATTAGGCAAATTTGCTGACCTTTTTAAAGTGTTGAAGAGCAAAGATGGCAGCTTGAAGACTAGATGTGCCTGACCCAAGCCATGATATTTTCAATAACCTCATATGCATGTGAAAGCTAGACAGTGAATAAGGAAGACCGTAGAAGAATTGATGCTTTTGAGTTATGATGTCGGAGGAGAATGTTGAAAGTGTCATGGGCTGCCAAAAGAACCAACAGATCCGTGTTGGAAGAAGTGCAGCCAGAGTGCTCCTTGGAGGCCAGGATGGCCAAACTTCATCGGACATATTGTCAGGCGGGACCAGTCACTGGAGAAGGAGATCATGTTTGGTAGGGAGGAGAGTCAGAGAAAAAGAGGAAGACCCCCAACGAGATAGATTGGCCAAGTGGCAGCATTGATGGACTCAAGCATGGCAACAATAGTGAGGTTGGCCCAGGATCGGGCAGTGTTTTGTTCTGCTGTGCATAGGGTCGCTATGAGTTGGTACTGACTCAGTGGCACCTAACAACAACAATGAACTCCTGGTGTGGCGCTGTAAGAACAGCACTGGACTGCAAACCGCAGGTCAGCAGTTCAAACCCACCAGCAGCTCCTAGGAAACACATGCAGAGTTATTGCTAAGTGCCAACTCAGCGGCACTTAGCAATAATAACAATGACAAGGAAACTTTAGTAGTAATAATAATCATGCCTGTTGTATGTTTAGAAAGGGAACTGGAGTTCAGGATAAAGCAGCCTGTTGGGGGAAGAGACCATAGAATATGCCAGCCTCAATTAGGAAAAGTAGTGTTCTTCCTACCTGCCATCTCCCTATAAACACCTGTGTGTGTGAACAAATGTACACACACAGGTACTGGTCTGTACGGAAGAGTAGCTCTAAGTGTGTTTTCATGAATTCCATGAGTCTAAGACAGAAAGTGCATGGAGAAATATGTTTAAGATGCCTTAGGGAACCTATTGGTTACCTGGGTAAGTTTGTGAGAACTGTTTAGATTTGTATTGTTTTTATTTCTTTTGAATAAGTTGCTATAGTCTTCCCCTTCTAGAGAAGGCATGATGTCCAGGGAATCCCAAGAACTGAGCAAGCACATGTGCTGTGGGGGAATGGGGGCTGACCTCGGCCACAATGCTGAAACTGGCCTGCCCGGAAGCTTGGTTTTGGCAGGAGCATGGACAATGGGGTAATGTGGCTTCTAAGCTCTCTGTTGATGAATAATAGTTGGGGCCTTCAGAAAACAATGCCATTTATCCCAGTCTGCTCCCTTTTGCTCTTTACCTTTTTTGGTCCACTGCTCTTGAGATAAAATCTAAAGTCTTTAACATGGTCTCGGAGACCCTGTGTGGTCCAGCCCTTGCCAACTTCTCTGTATAATTCCCTTCTCTGAAGTTAAGTTACAAAGGCTACTTTCCAGGTGTTCCCATGGTTTCACATTCCTGCCTATGTTAGGTGCACCTGCTGTTTTGGTCTGCCTGGAACACCAACTACTCTGCCTTCCTCTGTCTGCACTCATTTATTACCATGTAACACCTCTCCAATATTGGTTTAAACTTACTTCCTTGTGGAAGCCTTTCCTTACATATGAGATGACGTCTTGAGTCCCTTTTATTTGTGTCCATGATTTCCTTTATAGCCCCCATCATTGTTTGTAATGATGTAATATTGAGTGGGGATCTTACTATATCTCTTATTCAGTGATGGCTCTACAGCACTTGATACAGTGTCTGGTATGTAGTTGTTGTTATGTGCCATGGAGTCGGTTCCGACTCATAGCAACCTTATACAGGGTTTCCGAGGCTGTAAATCTTTACGGGAGCAGAAAGCCTCATCTTTCTCCAGCGGAACAGCTGACAGTTTCGAACTACTGACCTTGAGGTTCGCAGCCCGATTCATAACCACTATGCTGCCAGAGTTCTTCTGGTATGTAGTAGGTGCTCAATAAATACTTGTTTAATTCATTAATAAAGGAGTTATTCCTTAAAATATTCTTAACAAGTTTAACATGGAATTTATTCTTTTTAAAATACATTTTGTACATGTTTTTAAAAGTCTAGTTATATATACCTATAAAATTGATCTGTCCCATTGTTGTTGTTAAGTGCCATCGAGTCAGTACCAACTACTCATGGCAACCCTGTGTAGGACTTTTGAGGCTGTGAATCTTTGCTGAAGCAGAAAGCCTTATCTTTCTTCCATGGAAAAGCTGGTGAGATTGAACCGCCAACCTTGATTCATAGTCTAGTACTTACTCGACAGAGCGACCACGCTCGGAACTGTCCTAGAGGCCTATTAGCTGTCATTCTCTCTTTTTGTCTTTTTCCTTTCAGGTGGGGACCAGGGTTTACTGAACACATTTTTTAGCAGCTGGGCCACAACAGATATCAGAAAACACCTGCCATTTATTTATAATCTAAGCAGCATTTCTATATACTCCTACCTCCCAGCATTTAAAGCGTAAGTACAACTGATTTTACTGTTGTTGAGGGTGGGGGAGTGGGGTATGTGTCAGGTGCCATATGGGACAAGGTTCCCACCAGTTGAAGATGCTCTCTGGTAAATCTTTCCTAACTTGTGGTTAAGAACACAGACTGTAGGGTCCAACTAACCAGGACACCAACTAGCTTCTACCTCATATTGGCTGCATTTCCCTGGGTAAGACCACAACACACTGAGCTTCAGTTGCTTCTGGGAGAAAATGAGGGTATGACTAGTTCCCTCCTTGGTTTTTATGGAGATCAAGTAATAGCCTATCAGCTGTCCCCCACAGCCTCACAAATGTTGCTTTAGCACCTGTGACTCCATGCACACAACCATCCCATCTCCTACAGGGACTGTCCACGGAGACTCATGAGGCAAGTTGTGTAAACCACCTGTAGATTTACGTGTTTGACGAGGATTGTTGATAAAAAGACTTTTCGTGTGACATTTTGTACAGTGAAGTTCAGGATTTAGGAATCTGACACAAATCCAGAGCCTTCTGGTTAGTGTCCAGCCTTACAGGGTGCCTTTCCAGAGCTTTCCAACACAGTGCATGTCCAGCACATCCCTAAGGCTTCTGTCTTTATTTTCCTACAGATGCTATTTAAAATATATATATACATAACCCTTTTATCTCTTGTTTGAATGAAAATTTTCCTATTTAATAAATTTTAAAGTTCATTAAAATTCAAAGAGCCTGTCAATAATATGGTATAGATGACCAGGGGTACTCTGGAGCTGGACTATATTGGTTCAAATCCCGACATAATCACTTACTGAGCAGGTGGCCTTACAGAGTTGTTGTGAGGATTAAAGGGAATAATCCAGTCAAGTGGGCAGCAGGCAGCCAGAACTTACTCTTAGCACTCAGCAGAGGTTAGGTTATTAATCCTTTTTATATTCGAGAGGCAACATAGTGTTAAGAGTAGACTCTGAAGCCAAAAAGACAGACAGCACATCCTTATTGTGCCATTTACCTATTGTATGACTTTGTCTCTGTGCTTGAGTTCCTCTGAATATAACATGAGGAGGAACCTAGTACTTTGAGGTTTGTCATAGGATGAATTGAATTAATACGCATCAAGTGCTGAAGACAGGGTAGTGCTCCAGGGGTATTATTTGTTGGCATTATGCTTGTTCTACTACAGCAGTGGGCCCAGCCTTGTTGCAGTGTGGATCTCCCTACTAGAGCAGGATCCTTGTTCTCTAGCTTCTGACTCAGTTATCTTGAACTAAGGTGATGATTCAGGGTTCTGGAATGGCAGCCTAGCTGTCAGGTTACTCCTGAGATGCAGCCATGAGCAGTGGAGCTCCTCACAGAGCTGTCCTTGGCTCTCCCAGTCACTGGCCTGCAGAGGCCCTCCTGAGGGATCAGAAAACAAAGGCCCTTTCACTTCTGATATTCCATTATCCAAAGTCCCATTCATAACTCCTGGACCACACTAATGAGCATGTCTAGCTTTTTATGGGAGAAATGTTTCTTTTTCTGTCCTTTTCTGGGCAGACTCTGTCAACATCCTCTAGATAAGGATTATAAATACCTTGAGTTCTTTCCGCTCTAACTTTTCTTTGACCAGCATATTAGCTAGCGTAAGCTTTCAAACTTATCAACTGTGGTCCCTGTAAAGCAAACATGACAAGATTTAGTATCAAGGGATTTAGTATCACCTCTCAGTCCCCAGCCTTGTAAAGTTCAACCTTGCTTGGAAATGTGGATCTACTTCATTTTAATCCTTATTGCTCATAACTAATTCTGCCAGTTTGAACAGTGTACCTGCAAACCACAATTGTCTTATCGTACGGCAGTTACAGAACACTGTACCTTTAATTGACTACATTCAGCTTAACAAAGTGAGAGAGGGATAGAGAAATAATTTTTAATAGTGTGAGCAATCCTACCCACCCTTCAACTCAATTCTACACAGTGTGTCTGTGCCATGGGGTGAGCATGCTGGGGAGACAAATCGGACATCCCCCCTCAATTCCAAAACAGAGTGAAGTTAGTGTGTAAAGATTGATGTTTTCCATACAATGTGGCTCACATACTTGGCTACTTTTTCACCTATAGTTCAGGCCAATTCTAATTTTGCCCTTACTTGCTAACTTAGTTATCTAGTACTGCCAGAACAGAAATACCACAAGTGCGTGACTTTAACAACCAGAAATGTATTCTCTCACAGTCTGGAAGGGTGGAAGTCCAAACTCAGGGCGCCAGCTCTAAGCATAGGCTTTCTCTCTCGGTTGGCTCTAGGGAAAGGTGTCCTTGTCTCCTTTTAACATCTGTGGGCCCAGTACTCCTTGGAGATCTGCCTGTCTTGGCATCATTCTTCCCCTGGCTCTAAGCACTTCTCAGTGCAGAGGGACACACTTCACTCCTAGCTTTTCTTTCTGGTGATAGTCAGATCCCTCTCAGATTTTTGAGGGGTACAGTTTAATCCATGCCACTTGCCAGCATGCAATACCAACTTCTGAGCAAAAAGGGGCTTTCCTGTATCTTTCAGGGAAGCCCGTTTTGCAGATACTGTGTGCATTGATTTTACATTACGGCAGAAGAGCAAGAAGCAGGTAGAATGAGTTTTTTGTTTTGTTTTGTAAAAATACATGTATTTTCTGGAACCTTACTTTCCTGAAAAACAATTTGAGATCTAAATGACTTAAATGGTTAGGATGGTTCCTTTTTCCTGGCTTAACAAATGCATGCTAATTTTGGAAGTCTCCTTGATTTATTGCCATACACTTAGCGTATATGACGCACTGGGGAAGTTGGGAGCAACTCCATCCATTAGCCAGACATCATCTGACGTGTGAGCTGACAGGAGTTAATGCTGCTACTGCGCCTCTTCCCCTGGAGGGTGTCGAGTCTACATTTCTGTGATAAGACTGCTCAGAGTGATGCTGTGTCTCACCCCATTGCTGCCTATTTAGGAATATTGAAGAATTCATTTTCCCTTCTCTCCACCGGAACATGGTTTCATTTTTCTTCCAGAGATCCAGCCCCCGAGACAGTTTCCCTTACATTTTGGATTTTGGAGGGTTGAAATAAGTGGTAGTTTATAATTTCATTTTTGCTTTCTACTGATGTAAAATTGTCCTAGTCTTTTAATGTGAAGTAGCTTCTCAAGAACATTTTAGCCACCATACCTCATCTTCAAAGAGTCCTGCATAAGCTCTCCTCTGGGATCTCAGCATGAACCAGAAACCCCGCTGTTGGACACCAAGAATACCCTTGGTGTCCCCAGAGCCCAGTGGCTCTGTGGTGCCCTGATCTTCGATAGAGCAGCATGGGTGGAGACTGTTCAGGGTGGTTGTTTTTTGTTTCGTGTTTTTAGCTTATTTGTTTTGTTTCATTATAGTGATTTGTATACAAAAAACCATACACTATTTCACCAATTTCTACATGGACAGTTCATTAACATTGATTAGCCTATTCAAGCTGTGTAACCATTCTCCTTTTTTTCCCAAATTATTCCACCACCATTAGCTTGCATTCAATTCACTCTAAGCAAAAAATTCTCATCTTCCCCTACACTTCCTGCCCCTAACTCACTGCCACTGAGTCAGTTTAGACTCCTAGGGACTCTGTAGGACAGAGTATTGTTGTTGTTATTATTAAGTACCTTTGAGTTGGTTCTGACCCATAGCGACCCTGTATAGGATCTCCAAGGACTGACTGGTAAGTTTGAACCACCAGACTTGCGGTGGAGTTCTAATCCTACAGCACCACACCAGGACTCTGCCCAGTAGGGTGTCCATGGCTGTAATCTACAGAAGTTGACTGCCACATCTTTATCCCTCGGAGCTCTTGGTAGATTGAACCTTTTGGTTGGCACTTGAGCACTTAACCACCAGGGCTCCTTTTGTTTCTTAAAAGTGATATCATATAGTGTTTGTCTTTTTGTCATAGAATCATTTTTAGAACAACTTAGGTCTCATGGAAGAAGGAATAAAGAGTTTTTTCTCACTAACTCCAAGAAACCATGCACCAAAAAGTCACCAAGACAGTACTTAAACCTGAGTGCCCCAGAACCGTATAGCCTTGGATATTTTTGGAACATTGTGGACCTTTACTATTATATGAAGTTTCATTAAAGAATGGCCTAATAGGAGTCAAATGTAACATAAATTAGAGCTATGACATTGCGTATCTAATGCCTTTCTCTAGATAGCATATAGATAGAACAAGTCATAAAGGAAAAAACACTTTGAATGAATACTCAAATTTAGTTTTTAAAAAGGTTAATATTTTCTATTATAGAAGATCTTCTTGAATACATCATAATTTGAGAATTCAGTTGCCTAGTTTAGTTATTTTAAAGCTAATTAATTATAGTGTATATATTGGGAAATAAGTTGATAAGTGAAATAACTTTGTGAGAGTGCCTAGCATAATGTTTGGGAAATAGTAGCTTTTAAGAAATAGTCGTTTCTTTCACATTTCCTCCATTTGTAGGGCTTTTTAAAATCCAGATTACATAGAATTTGACTTGTACATAGGACTGTGTTGCCTTTTTGATTAGGAATAATCTTATTAACCTTTCTAAAATCAGTCATTTAGTTCTCATTTAGTTTTATGTATATCCATTGACTAAACACTCTCTGTGTTATGTCTTGTTATATAAAAAACCTAAAACAAGGATAATTTTCTGATACTGCCTCAAACTGGCATATAGATTAGCAAGTCAAACTGACTGACTAAGAAGCCTGACTTACCTAATAATTTCCAAATAAGCAAAAATGTATTCCTTTAACTGAGGTTGGATATGACCCAAATGAGACCTGGCTTGTTAGGTGCCATCAAGTCAGTTCCAAGTTACAGTGACCCTGTGCACAATAGGAAAAACACTGCCTGGGCCTGGGCCAGCCACCTAATTATTATGTTGGAACCCATTGTTGTTGCCATTGTGGCAGTCTGTCTTGTTGGGGGGTCTTCCCCTTTCTCATTTACCCTCTACTTACCAAGCACGATATCCTTCTGC